ATTAGCCTGGCGGCCTCTTCTTTGGACTTGAGATTCTAGATTAACCTCATCCTCACCATTGTCATCTACCTCCTCCCCCGAAAGAACATGTCCGAGAGCATCATTATGAGCCATTTGGTACCTAAAGCGATTGATACACAAAAGTTAGAAAAACAGAAGGAAAGAAAAACAAGACACACAAATAGTTAGATAGATAGCCAACACTGTCTAACTCCACGGAAACGATGCCAAAAAGTGATCGAGTCCAAACCTACACCACTATAGAGTAGCGAGGATGGTCGATGCAGTTTTACCCAACAAGATCGGGATCAATTTCCACAGGGAGTTAATTTGGTTTGGAGTTAGGTGTCTAACTAATCTAGATGTGCGTGTTGTTCTTAATTGCACTTCCAAATATTGTTGCGATTAATTCTAGTCTAATTTTATACTATTGTATGCTCAGTGTAAGCTAAGTGCAATATTTTTGGTGAATGTTTTCAAGTGTTAAAAGGCACTAGGGAAGTGACTTTCGCCTAGGTGAGTATCTAATGAGTATCAAGAATCTAGGACAAGCTTGTTATGATTGGGATCGTGATATAACCATCACACATAAGTTCTCACTCTATACCTCTCGGTAGTTTGAGTGACTTTGCCCGATTTGGCTTTCTCAAACCCAATTGGGTGTTCATACAATACAAGTAAAATTAGCTCAAGTCTGGTATTACTATCTCTAGGTTTAACCCTTTAATTGGGGCTATCAATCTCTTGAGTTCACCCCAATTCCTTGTTAGCCTAATTTTCCTAGACTTAGTCTCTCTTTCTCAAGAAGAGCCTAAGTCATAAAAGCATGAGTCAGTGTTTGCAACCACTAATTCTACAATTTTAGCATGAATTAGGCTAAATATCACTAAGCCATAAACAATTAAGCCCTAAAATTCAAGACCCATTAAATACCCACACTAGAGTTGGGTCACAACCCTAGCTATAGGATCTAGCTACTCATAATAACAGTAGAAATCAAAGATAAAGATGAAATATAAGCCATAATATTAAAGTACAAGATGAAAATCTAAAGTTTGAAGGTAAATCTGCTCTAAAATTGCCCAAAAAGGGAAAAACGAGTCGTTCACATGCTCTCCTCAACAAAACTTGACCTAAATTTGATAAAAGGATCTATTTATACTAGGCTAAAATTTTTGGACAAAAATGCCCCTGCGGAGGATTTGCGGACGTGTAATTCTGACCGCGTCCGCGCTTGAGCTTTCGCAGCTGCATAATAATGAGCGCGGTCTGCGTTTCTTCAATACTGGGCTTTGATTGGGCTTAATTTCGTGGACCGTGTAATTTCAACCGTGTCCGCATGTGCTTCCATCGCGGCCATGTAATTTGGACACGGACCGCGTTCTTCAATTAAGTCTGACTTGCAGGGTCTCTGAACCTCAAGATGCGCTCTCAGCGGAATTCCCTTCGCGGCCGCGCCTAAGATTTCGCGGCCGCGTCTTTCCAACGCGATCGTCGGTGATTTTAGTATTCAAAGCAGCTTCTCTGAATCTACTTTCGCGGACCGCATAATAGTGGCCGCCTCAGCGGTAGTCCTTACACGGCCGCGCTTTTCTGCCGCTCTCAGCGCTCATGTCTCAGCCTTGGATTCGTGCAGGTTTGACTCCTTCATGAGTTGATTATGGCTTCTTTGCCTCATTTTGACCAAACCCTGCAAGCAAGCACATTAAGTAAGTTTTCGGGAATACCTTTACACATTTTTTACCCAAAACCTAAGCAAAAGAGAATAAATAATAGGCTAAAACCCCTAGTTATCACTACGCTATCAGGATCATCCTCATCACGTCGCCTCTTTATCGCTAGATGCGCTGTAGCATGATCGTCAGTAGTGCTGGCAGGCTCTGTAGAAGGGGTCATCGGTCCAGCAGTAACCTACAAAAGAAAAGTTACCTCAGTATATGAAAATATATATTAGTAATGTATGTGTTAAGTCACAAAAATTTAAATTATCTTACCATGGTCTCATCGGGCTTCTGAATATAATCATCCGTCGCAGCCAGGTCAGCATTGCACAAAGTGGCCTCTGTGACGGGCGAGGATGAAGCCTTAATAAGAAAAATATTAAGATATTTATGGCTAATCAATGAGATAAAAACAAATTTAAATTTAATAGTAATACAAACATACTTGCGCATGTGAAAGATCCCTTGCACTCCTCGATGAGGAGCCATAACTCAGCCGGCGCCCACTATCCACATCTCGGGTCGGCCGATCATCAACTGTGGTCGATAGGCCTAGAAAGTACTGATCCCAATCAACTCATGTAATGCGCGTGCCCGTGATCAACAATGGATCTGACGAGGTCACCTGCGAAGACCCTGGAGTGAGCTGAAGGCTGTATAACGTCATGCTGTTGTGATAGTAGTCTGGCTCATGGAGGTCACCCGGCTGGACAGGTGCCTCAACGCCCCCTTGCTGGGGACCACCTCCTCGCCTGCCCCCACGACCTCATGGGACAGCCCTGCCTCGTAGGACAACCCTACCTTATGGGACAACCTTACCTCGATGGTAATGCTCTGGCGCCACGTAAGCAGGGTCGTGTCCTAAGCGCTTATCCTCTCGGGCGCGCCGCAGTGTTCGGGCAGCCAGCTCTGTAACCTATCGGCCATACTCGTGTAAAGTGGTCGCTCCCTCACCGGCATGCTACTGCATCTGCAGTCCCAACTGGTGGAACAAATGTAGGCCAATAGCCCGCACAACATGTAAAATATAAATAATGGAACGCTAGGTTACAGTTATAAGTAAGAATACCAAATAACATACCAGTGCCTCGTGCCTCCCGGCGTATGGAACGTACCGACCGCCAGCGCGATGAATGGGATTCCCGATGAAAAGTCAGGTAACATCACGGTACCAGCCCATTTAATCATGCTCAGTATTCGTATGGCACGGTGAAGGAGGGGGCGGAATCAGGTCAAGTCGCCAGTCCCAAGTATCGATCTGCACCTCTAGCCATGCCGCATATGCATGGTCCACCCTGGAACGATCATCCCGCTGGAAATGTATGGTCTGCCAGGTAGGTGGTACAAGCTGCGGACGGCCAAACTGGCGAAGTACCCACTCGGTGGCATGATGCTCCACAATATCAAGGCACATCAACGGGACAGAAGAGCTCCAAATAAGTCGGACGGCCGAGCAATAATCGGGCAAGCCAGCTATTAGCGAGTCGCTGTATAGCGTCCAGATGAACTATTAAGAAACAACAGAAAATGTGAGTATACGCAATACATGTGAAGCCAGGGCAAGTAAACTTAGGTATACATTTACTTGTGCGCCCTCCAGCAAATCTAACAAATCTCTGCACAAGGGGAGATTATGTCGAGCCTCGTACTCTCGTCCATATCCCCGTCGGAGAACCCACCTCCTAGCTAGAGGGAGAAACGGAGGTGGTACACCCGGAGCTAATGGTGTTAGAGGTGGTTGCAACTGCATGAACCGCTCCCAGGCCCAAACCTAACATACAAAGTGGACGTAAAATTTAAGATATATTTTTACTGGGTATGTTATAATGAATAGAGTATTCAAATATGTTTTCACCTGTAGCAGCAGCAAAAATCCAGCAACGTCACGCTGGGTGCCCATGGTCGCCCGGCACAACTGCCTGTACAAGTAGGCGAGAACAGCAGCACCCCAGCTGTACTGGGGTATATCATCTAGCCGCTCATCCTCAAGATGATGAAATCTCAAGCTGACTAGGTTCCCCGAAGTGTTCGGGAACAAGACCCCTCCAAACATAAGGAGCAGTAGCAACCTCGTGTACCGGTGGATATACAGCTCCGGTGTATCGCATGTGATGTCAGAGTGCAATACCTCCAAATGGTCTCGGATAGTCGTCAGCTACAGACGACTGGCCCCAGCCAGTGCAGTCTCCTCCTGTGGCCGGAAACCAGTGAGCTGTTGCAGCATGTCCAGGTACCTGCCCACCTGTCAACTCTCTCATGGCCTGCGGCAGAGCAACGGGGTGTCCATCAACGGGCATCCCATATATACCCTCCACGTCATGCAGTGTGATGGTGGCCTCGCCAATGGGCAAGTGGAATGTGTGCGTCTCCAGTCGTCACCGCTCTATCAGGGCCGTGATCAAAGACTAATCGAGCTGCAGCTGCCCCTATCTCCAAAATCCTATAGAAGCTTGTATCCTGCAGGCGTCTGACTACACCGGGATGGAGAACTTTGCCCTTCAGAAAGTCCCACATGTCGTCCACTCTCCTGACGGGGAGAGTCTGGGCCAGTAACTCTCCCTCCCATATGTGGGAGGACCTATGATCGCCCTGTAACGACAGTAGCTCATCGCTAGAAGGTCCGGGATGCATAGGCGGAACCTCCATGTCGTCTACTGTAAATTAAACAACATTAATTGCATGTTATTTTTATAATTTTATATGTTTGTTTGTAAATTAAATAATTAATTTTTATAATTATACAAGATTTAATTATTAAGTATTTACATATAGGTTCCAGGCTCGATATTTGAGGCCTAGTAGCACCAAGATATTCGGAATTCTTGTATGTGTTAGTTTTATTATTTTACATGTTAGTTTTATAATTTTATATGTTTGTTTGTAAATTAAATAATTAATTTTTATAATTATACAAGATTTAATTATTAAGTATTCACATATAGGTTTCAGGCTCGATATTTGAGGCCCAGTAGCACCAAGATATCCAGAATTCTTGTATGTGTTAGTTTTATTATTTTACATGTTAGTTTTATAATCTTATATGTTTGTTTGTAAATTAAATAATTAATTTTTATAATTATACAAGATTTAATTATTAAGTATTCACATATGGGTTCCAGGCTTGATATTTGAGACCCAATAGTACCAAGATATCCAGAATTCTTGTATGTGTTAGTTTTATTATTTTATATGTTTGTTTGTAAATAAAATAATTAATTTTTATAATTATACAAGATTTAATTATTAATTATTCACATATGGATTTCAGGCTCGATAAATGAGGCCCAATAGCACCAAGATATCTCGAAAAATATTGTTATTTTCCCATGTTATTTTCTTACGATCGTTGACTAGAATTGGACAGAGTTTGTGTTTGATCTATCAGCTATTTTGACGTATTTTTGGGTATAAGAGATACATTTAAATGATTAATTTCAATAACTACAGGGATACTACGCTAAAAGGCACTACATTTTACTACGCTAAAAGGGCACTATATTACTAGTCTTTAAGAAAATAAATAATCTAAACCAGATAAAAACAACAAATACATTTAATCACAAAACATTCACAAAAATACATATACAATAGTAAAAAGTAACTTATTAACATTTTTTTGAAAAAATAATAATGATTTCTCAATTTTTACATATTTTTTAGCACACTAATATCTTAGTCCGGATAAAATAATATACCAGTTTAATCACAAAAAAAATAAAATAACGTAGAACACATTTAAAATAACTAATATATATTTTTTATACGAGTTTCAACAAAAACTAAATCGGAATACCTCGATTTATGTTTTTTGAAAAGTTGAAGATTTGAATCCGAAACGAGTAACCCACAACGAGAGAAGGCTTAGCTAGAATGTGGGACCAATAATCTTTACTTTTTGTGGGACGGGTGGGGTCCACTCGAGTTATTTTGGGTCGTTAATGGGGGGGCCGCTGCTTTGATTTTAAAATTGGGGGGTGGGGGGTGGGGTTGGTTCTGCTTCTGTAACGGGGGAAAGGGAAGGGACGGTATTTGAAGGGGTATAATGTCGTTTATTAAGGCTCTATACATATAGCGCCTTAATAAACTACGCTATACCTGGACGTCTAAACAAAAACATACATAGCGCCCTTTTAAATGGCGCTATACCTTAACGGGCCCTTATTCTTCTAAAAAAGGGCCACACGGTACTATACCCACACGGTTTTAATTTGTTCTAAAAAAGTGTGCAGATTATTTACATAAAGTTTTGATGTTTCAATTCAAAATAAAAAACTAACAATATTCATTTGTAAAATTTTATCTTTCAAAACTATTATACGTTTAATGAAAATACGTTATAATTAAAAGTTTAGTATGGTAAAACGGGAAGTCCAATCCTTAATGATGGCGTTTGTTTCAAGAAATTGAAAATTAGTGTTTCAAACTCTACAAAATATAGTTTCGACTAAACTCCACCATTGAGAAGCTATTATTTTTAAAAATTTCTTGATTGAGTTTTAGCGAAAAATAATTTTACAGTTTTGCTTCTTAATTTTTGAGAAAAAGTCACCATAATTTTAAAAATAAATCCATGAGGAGGGTGATACAAATAGGCAAGAAATAAATCTAGAAAGATTGTATATTTTTTTTTGTTTAAAAATCTTTATCTTTGAATTTAAATTTATTGTTGTTACCTAATCTAGATGACATTGTCATAAGATTGCTTAATGATTTATTTTTAACTTGCCACTTGGTTTGCTTAATGATTTATTTTTAGCTTGCAACTTGGTTTAATCACATTACAAATTACTCTCATTTTTATATATACAGAGTATATATGATATCTGGTTAAAATTAAAGTTAAAGTTGCAAAACAGTTCTTAAATTTTTTTGTTTCGGAATAAACTTTATTTTACTTAAATATTTTGAAAACTTGTGAAAGTTTAAGATATTTTATTTAAAATGCACCTTAAACTAGTATTTCTAAATATTATTTAAAAGTAAAAGAGTTTAACTTATAATAACTGAAAGCGTAAATATGTTGACATATTCAAATTAAAACGCTCTACGACAATATGTAGTTGTATATAATAAATTTGATTTGCTAACTTAGAAAATAGAGTAAATAATTCGTAAGTAAAACTAGATTAATACGTAGTATAAATGCATATTCGTAGAATCTGATTGTATTGGAACAAACAAGTCATGATTGCACTTCTTCGTTAAAAAAAGATGGGAAATTTTACCTAAGGTAGCAAAGGTATACACCATATTTATTATAAACCAAAATTATTTTAAAATATTATTTTTTATAGCTACATTTTATATTTTATAGCAAAATAGGCATTTATGTTATACACTACCATTGAGGCATGAAATACGTTATTTTTTTTTTATCTCTCTTTCTTTTGGTTAACACACGATTCTCTCTCAAAATCTCAGCAAAAATTTTTCTTCTTTCTCTCTCTCTTCAAGCAAAATACCTACTTCTAATCGTGAATTCTCTGGCTGAATCTTGTAGGGTTAATGCAATTGAAAATACTTCTAGAGGTTCAGTCAATCTACAGTGTGTACAGCAACATAAACGTTGGATAAATAATGGGGCAGAAGTTCTTAAAACGATGAATCATCCATTTCTACATAACTATGAGTCAGAAACGTCGGCGTCATCATTCACTATTGGCTCAGCTTCTTAGGCGAACAGATATGTGTATGGATACGCCGGAGAAGATTTGAGGGCCGGATTTTTGTTCTTCTCCATTTTTAGTTTTAATAAAATGTATGCAATATTTTGCTTGGCAGAAAAACGCCATCTCCGACGAACTTTCTTCTCTTCTTTGCTATGAGTCACATATAATTTTTTTATTTAGTCACCGGTATTTATGTATTCCGAAGGTCTGTATTTTTTGAATACAGCCGAATATCACTATATTTCGTATTTTTTTATTGTTTTAATACAGTCGAATTGAATACAGTGTATAATAATAAATATATGTGAATTAAATATACTATATACAGTCGAATTGAATAGAACGGTATACACCCTATTTTTTTGATTTTTTGTTGTTTGAATACAATTGAATTCAATATAGTGAAATTGAATATAATTCAATAATGCACTTTTCATTATTAAACACCCGTAATTACTATATTTTTAGGTGGATTACCTCACTATATTTATAAATACATCCGCGCGTGGATTACCTCACTGTATTTATAAATACATTCGCGCGAATACATGGAATACATAATTAAATATCTATAATCCCTATTTTTTACCCCATTGTATTTATAAATACAGTCACGCGAATACATGGAATGCAACACAGTAGCAGCGATATTTATGTAAAATTAATTTTGTTGAGTTAAATTAGGAGCGATACACGCTAATTGATCCTCTTTTCGTTAGTAAACAACTGGATTCCCCTATTCTTTAGGCGAATTCCGCTACCTTATTCACAAATACAACGCGAATACAGCGAATATAGTCGCATACAGCTGTACTCCCCTGTTTTAGGAGATTTTTGCTACTGTATTCATGAATACAGTAGTGTGAATACATCGAATACACTTGCGTAATAACTGAATAGTAGCTATAGAAGTAATTATGTATATGGTAGCTATAAGAAGTTAATAGCCACTAAACAATAGTGATTTCTGAAAATTCCTCAAAAAACATTGATGGACAACTTGTGTCACGACCCTAATTTTTCTCCGTAGGATATCGTGACGGCACGTAGTCTCTAAGACTAGGTAAGCCTAACAAACATGCAAAAATAACTGAAACAATAATTTAAAAATCTCAAAACCCAACAACTAATATAAGGAAAAATCTCCACATCTTCGTGTATATACAATAGCCCGAAACCCGACGTAATACAAGTCGCAAGCTCTATGCATATATCAAAGTCATCCCTATACAACTGTATCTAGTAAAGAAGAAAAAATATAGAAATGGATAGAAAGTGACTCCGAGGCCTGCAGATGCGGGCAAGTGTACCTTAAAGTCTCCAAATGCGAAATCAGCTCGCTGGTGCCAGGACTGATAGGCACCTGGATCTGCACAAAAAGATGTACAGAAGCGTAGCATGAGTACACCATAACGGTACCCAGTAAGTGTCAAACCTAACCTCGGTAGAGTAGTGATGAGGTCAGGTCAAGACCCTATTGAAAATAATAATAAACAAGACGAAAGATTTAACAATATAATAATAATAACAAAGGAAATGAAACAAGTAAGGAGTATACCAGAAGTTAACTACACAGAATCAAGGCAAATAATACATCATGGAAGGAAACAATGATTTGACATGTTAAG